GAGAAGGGCCAGAAACGGGCGCGCAGGTCTGGGGGAGCAACGGGAACCGGATGGACCCGCGTGGGCCTCCCAGGCCCCTCAGGGGTCTCTGCGCCAGGGCTGCCCCTGCTGCTCCGCCTCCTGCTGCCCGTGCGCCCCAGGAGGGCGGGGGCGGGGTGGGGTCGGGCCTGGACCCCCCCTTCCTGGGACCCCCACTACAAAACCTCTCTAAACCTCCCTGGCGGCCCAACGGCCAGCACGCAGCACCCCGCAAGCTGGCCGCAGCCTCTTCTGCGTGAGTTCGATCCCGGGCTGGGGGTCAAGGGCTCGGCTGACCCCTCCCCTCTCCCCGCTGCCCCCTCAGCAGTGGCCTTCGTGGATCTGCCTGTCCTGCGCCCCGCTCTGTCTCTGGCGAATCCTCTCACCGCCCCTCCCCCCTGGCCTGTACCCCAGTTCTGTATGCAGATATAAATAAATCTTTTTTTAAAGGTGCTAATACAGGAAGGGTCGCCTCCCAGTGTTCCCTGCGGCGTGGCCACCAGCCTCCGCCTGGCCCCGCCGACACGGGCTGAGGGCAGGCCCGGCTGTGAGCTTGGGCTGTTTCCCGTCCGTCCTCAGGTCCTGATGATGTTGTTTTTGGAGTTGAGGGGTTTGGAGGGCGGATCCTGGGGTTCGCTCTGGGAAAGGTGTCCCCAGTGCGCCCCTTCCCCAGGCGAGTTCCTCCACGAGACAGACCTTAGTTGTATGTAAAGAGCAGGTTAATTAGGGTAAAGGACAGGAGTATTGGACTCTTGCATGGACACAAGTGGGCAGGGCGAGCTGCCCAGCAGGACAGGCTTGCTGAGAGGCTGGTGGGCCAGGCGGGCGGCCTGGGAGCGCGGCCTCCGCTGAGGGGTCAGTGCAGAGAGGCCCCGGCAGGTGCAGGTCACGGGTGGGCAGGAGGCCGCTGCCCCTCAGAGGGAGAGGGGGTGGGCGGGTCACCTGGGTGGACCCGGGGGGGCAGCAGGCTGCAGGGTGGGGCAGACACTGCCCGACACAGACGCCCCTCTGGGAGGGGCTCGCTCCTGGGCCGGGGCCAGCTGATTCTGACTAGAATCCGGAAGGGACAGGAGCCCCCAGTCAAATCACTCAGCACCTCGCTGGTCAGACAAAACGCCGGTTGAGCTGGAACCAGGCAAGCGGCTGGCAGACCCGAGACCAGTTAGGACCACTGGCTGTGGACCACCTGAGGCCGGTCAAGATGGACAAAATCAAAGCAGCTTCGGGTAATGTTGCTTTCTGTTTTAAAGATTTGTTTACTTACACACACAACTGGGGTGCAGGCCAGAGGTGGGGGTGAGAGGACCCCCAGAGACAGATGGGAGCAGAACAGACGGATCCGCTGAGACCCCCTGCCGAGGGGGCAGCGGGGAGTAAGAGAGGCCTCCTGCGCCCTGGGGTCCCTCCCTGGCGGGGGGCGCGGGGGTGCGACTTGCTGCAGCGCTTGGACCGGTTGCGCCACCGGGGAGGCCCCGGGAGGGGATTTCTGAGCAAGATGGAGCTCAGAAGCTTTAAAAAGAAAAATCAGATAGTTTATTCTGATCCCGGGAGCGGTGGGGGAATTTCTGCACTCTAGGTGAAAGCAAACAGGGGACCTTTCCCTACTCAGAACCGAAGCGCGTAAGCGCCAGTCTGGAGTCGCATGGGAAGTGCGGAGCATCTGGCCGGGGGGTGGGGGGCCTCTGCTCCAGTTACCCCGGCAGGAGGCCCCCCTCGGCCCCACGTGGTCCGGCGGCGTGAAGGTGAGTGTGCCCGCGTTTGGGGACCCACGTCAAACAGCGGCGCTCTCCTAGGCGAACAGCCAGGCGAACGCCGGGCCGCCGGAGTAGGCGTGGAAAGCCGCCCAGGGGCCCGCCGCCGGGCTGGGCGCCCGCAGGGTGCCACCCCGAGACCCCAGGAGCTGTCGGGCCACCGGAGATGCCAGGCCAGCCGCGGCCCTTCCAGGAGGCGGACGGATCGCTGGGCCGAGTGACCGCTGTCCCGGGAGCGGCGGCTGCTGAGGGCCCCCCGCGGCAGACAGGTCGGGGTCCTCAGCCAGACCTCCGGGGGAAGGGAATGAGCAGGCGGCCGCGCTCCTCCCCGTCTCCTCCGCTCTCCGCGGGCTCCCCGAGCTCCCCGAGCTCCCCGACGTTATTCAGACGCGTCAAGCTGAGCCGTCACACTGGCGTAGGGAGCGAGCACAGAGGACGCAGTCGGGTTTTCGGCCGGGCGAGCCCCAGCGTTGATCCTTCCTGGAAGGCGCAGGCAGCTGCTAAGGAGGCGTGCGCCCTGCGGCCCTGCTCTTTACAGCCAGACACCCTGCGGATGCGAGCTCCGCTGCGCGAACTCCTGAAAGTGAAGCCGCACGTGTCTGTACTCACCCCCGTGAAGGCCAGGCAAAGGGAAGCCCCTGAGCC